GCCGATGAGTCACTCGGAGGAAATTCCAGCTTTTTGGGACTTTCCGCCCACCCCACGCGGCCGTCACCCACCCTTCCAAGGTGACAGTGTGCGATGAGTCACCCGGAGGAAATTCCAGCTTTTTGGGACTTTCCGCCCACCCCACGCGGCCGTCACCCACCCTTCCAAGGTGACAGTGCGCTAAGGGTGCACTGGAAGGGCGGTGAAGACGCTATTAGACACCCTGATTGGTGAATGTAATGGTTAACCATTTAACCAATCAGCGTGCTCTAACGAAAATCTCTTCCACGGACGTCCGAGGGACGACGTCGAGATTTGCATTCGTGCAAAAACCACCAAGGAGCAACCAGCTGAAACCGTAACGACTTCACTATTCCGAGTATAACTGGGTGGTCCTTCGAGAAGGTTTTGAATTAAAATTAACGTGCAAGTACTGTTCGGTTGTAAAAACCTAAATCTGTTCAAGGCGAAGGTTTAGGCGACACGGCTCGCAAATTTACAAGGATTTAGGAAACCCTCTCATTTGGCCACCAGAAGCGGCAGTCTGCCGACCGACCAGATGAACCAGGACTCGACCCTACAATATAACAAATATTTAACAACAATACCCCCACCCTCTCGACACGACAGTCACCCCCGGAACACTCACAAAAATCCAATCAACACTCTTCAACCACCTCCACTACACGTTTTAAACAGCGAATAGAAGCACACAGCAAGTTGATAAAATAGCACGCACAGACACTTCGAGAACAGTATTACAAGCAGCAACAGTCACTTACACATTAGCATACACATTCGATACAGACACTATTATTGTAACATATCTGGTTAACTATTTTTAATACAAGTATATCGTTGTTCAACATTGTGTGATTACTCAATATTCACTACGTATCCATCGCATCCTTCGAAAGACTTCACTGAAGATTGCAAAATTAACAGTTCGAAGTCCGCGTCATCAAACCGTCGCAAATTTCAACGTGGACGCTGTGACGCGACCAAACAAGTACAAACCAAGCTCGAAAGTTGATTTTAAAACAAAGACTTCACTGAAGATTGCAAAATTAACAGTTCGAAGTCCGCGTCATCAAACCGTCGCAAATTCCAACGTCGACGCTGTGACGCGACCAAACAAGTACAAACCAAGCTCGAAAGTTGATTTTAAAACAGTCACGGGCATTAACACTGATATACGGTCATTTTGACGAGGAAACTGAATCGAAATTATACAATACTCTTTCTGTACGAACACAATGAACGACCTAATGCTTACAAACGATAGCCTACTTACTTCCTCATTCGCAGAGCCACAGTTCCCGCAGATTATTTCACGAAATTGCACAATGGTTCACGCGTGGAGTGCCTCGTGGTTGGTACTATCGGGCCGGCGACCCTGTCGGAGTCTGTTGACGTAACTACCCGAGGACAGAACTTAATCGAACGTGTTGAGGGACGGAAGATCGCTTCCATCTTCGTTCGAAGCGGAAAGAAACTCTGGGAGAGAGCGCGGGGCGCTCGCGCGCCGAGCTCGTTATTTCTTTTCGCGAAGCGTTTTTTGCGTTTCGCCCGGAGCAGTTACGGCTTTTGTCACGATGACAATAATCGAGGGGCAATTCCGCGCGTCCCCGCATGGAAAAAGTTAGCCGGGGAGATCGTGCAACAAATAACGATCGCGAGAATACGAATTCTCTGCGCGTTCTCTCGCTCGAGCGGCACGCTGATCTCGAATGAACTTGGAGCGACGGGGAAAAAAATTGAACGATAGAGAGAAGAGAGGGAGAAATTGTGTGGTTTCTCGGAAAAAGTCAACGAAATTTCCACCGTTGCAGAAATGTTGTAACGACAGAAAAAAAAGAGGGGACGTGAGAGTAAACAAGGAAAAATGGTTGCGAAAAAGTATATTAGTTTTCTCGACAACGGGCAACCGAAATAATTCAGCTCTGAAACAATATTCCCCCCGCGTTTTCGTCGAACAAATCGCGAATAGAGAGGAACCGCTCACGCTATTAATATCTCGCGTCAAAGCTGGCCAATCTATGACGCGAATCTGTTAAAAATAAAAACAAAAAAGACCGTGGGGAAAAAAGAACAACAGAGGAAGAATTTATACACTGGATTTTCTGGGCTTCCGTTAAAATAGGTTGCAGTCCAGCCGACGGCTTGTCAAACGAAATTTCCAGTTTAAAACGTGGTCCCGAAAGTTACTCTTCTCGTCCTGGTCGCGGTGACGTCGATTCGCGGAACGTTTCCATTCTTTCGACTCGTCACTATGTCAAATCGATGCTCGCTTAGAGAACGACGAATCCGGTCTTCCGTTTCTTTCTCCGTTCTTTTTTTCTCTCTGTTCCGCCGCGACGACAACCGGGTGTACCGTTCAGAAACTGGCAAACAGTGCACCGGTCGAATGGTCACTAGCGGATTTGCGGTTTGCAAATGGCGCGAAACGCAGTTCGTTACCTTGAGGAATGCATAATGCAATCGCGTGATCGTCAGGCAACCGGGCCAACGTTGGACAAAGTAGGCGATATTCTCCTACTCATTCGCGTTGATTGCGTCGCGAATAAGTTCCCTCGTGTTGCCGTAATTTCGGCTCGTATTCGAATCTGTCCGAAGCAGTCTCGCGATATTGTGATTCTCGCTGTGTGCCTCCGTGCGTGTGTATGCAGTACACGCAGGATTTCGTAACGATTCCAGCCACCTCTTTTCTCTCCTTTTGTTTTTAATTAACGAACACAATGGTGGTTAGAGGGAGAGGGCTCGTCGAGGGGGAGTGATTGAACGGTGGTTACGCGAGTCTCGTTTAGCACGGTGTAATTTTTCGATTATCTGCCGATATTATCGCGTGGTATTGTGCGCACGTCGAACGCTGATAACACGCTCGTCAAGTGATCCCCGTTCAGAATACAATGCGCGCGGCGTCCTTCATTGTGAAAGAACCCGTGGTAACAACTGGTTCGCGCTTTTCAATCGCTTCGGAACGGAAGTTGTTATTTCACGCGGTTTAACCTTGAGAACAATGTCGACAGAGTGGCGTCGAAATTGAGGATTTCTTTCGTTCAGAACGAGATGTACAATGTAGAACGAGCTATTTCGCGGCAGTCGGCGGTTGTTCGATTACCTGGAATCGGTTTAACGAGGTGTTTATTCGTATGCAGAAGCTTCTGCGAGAGAAATTTACCCATACAGGAGCATTTCATTTAGATAGGATACACTTTTTGTTGCACCTCTTTCCGAGAAAAGCAATTTTTATCGATGCCAGAACGAGTCATTTTAGGTGCTTTGATAAATACTCCTGCGTGTCAACGTTGATTTCTTTGCTTTCGAACGAAATGTAAAACAGCGATGAGCTAGTTCGTGACAGTCAGCGGTTGTTCGATTATGTGGAATCGGTTTAACGAGGTGTTTATTCGTATGCAGAAGCTTCTGCGAGAGAAATTTACCCATACAGGAGCATTTCATTTAGATAGGATACACTTTTAGTTGCACAGAGTACCATCTTTTACCTCGTGATACTTTCTCGAAACAAAGCAATTTTTATAGATATCAAAACGAGTGATTTCAGGTACTGCGTGTCAACGTCGATTTCTCTGCTTTCGAACTGTTACACCCTCAAATATTTTCATTCTTAGCCCTTAGTTTTATCTGTATTCACAGCTAGTCATCCATTCTCACCGTTACTCATACTGGACTCTTCACCTTCCAACTCTCCTGCATAGTCGCAACCCAAAGTCCATCTTCCCAGTATCATCAAAAATCTCTGTTAAATAATGTTTCTGCACGAGTTCGCGATCTATTTTACTAAAGACGGCGCGTTGGCGAAGGTCGTAACTCTTCATTCCGATGTTTCGACACCGCGTATCGTACAGTGTTTTTTCCTTACGAACGTTTCCGGAGGTAAGGAATGATACTTGAGATATGTCTTTTGGTTTTACTTGTCCTCGTGAAGTGTCTTTTTTGAACTCTTTATTTTGTGCTGGTGCGTTTGTGGTGGTGCGTGGGTATACAGGGTGTCCCGTAACTCCTCGAACACCCGGAAATGGGGGGTTGCTGGGCTGACTCTGAACAACTTTTTCCTTTACCAAAATGTTGTTTGAAGTTTCGTTTTTGAATTATTAACGAAAATCACTGGCCAATCAGGCTGACTTAAGGCCACTGGCTGACTCTCAACCGCGCGCAATCGTGAACAAATGCGTACGCGTCACTTCTCGATTATCGATCGCTGTCAAAAAAATTTGACTTTGCACCGCTATTTTTATAAGGCTTAGAGAAATGGGTTTTTGCGTGTCATTCCGACATTTGTATAAATTTTTGAAAAAACTCCAATTAGTTGAAATCGTGAAGAAAATAGCGAAGGCCTGAAAATAGCCTCTGTTCTCCGCCCCTGAGCGCGGGCTCTACGCGCGCTGTAATTGGCCAGTGTTTTTCGTTAATAATTCAAAAACGAAGCTTCAAACTGTATTTTGGAAAAGGAAAAAGTTGTTCAGAGTCACCCCTAGCAACCCCCCATTTCCGGGTGTTCGAGGAGTTACGGGACACCCTGTATATTGGGTCGGTGTATGTTCTGATTGGTTGGACGTTGAAGATGGTGGAGAAGAAGGTCTCGAAAAATGCGGAGGTGTGATTGGATATTAGGAAACTAGTGGAAGGAGAACGCGAGGGTGAAGGTGGTGGGCAAAAGTTGAAATAATTTGGGGAAAACCCGGAAAAGGGAACATGACCAGGATGCGACTTGAACTGCTTTGTGGTAGGGAAGGAATTTGTTAGGGGCTAGGAAGACGGCTGGAAAGGACTGTTTATTAGTTTATGATGTGTTACTGGCCGGTGGGCTGCGCGACCGGACAAGGACAATCGAACAAATAAAGTTTTGTTTCACGCAACGACGATCCCTAAGTGTTTTACTTGAGCGATACCCCAATATCTGCTCCTAGTTTCGAGGAATTGGGGCAAACCGGGCATCGCAGAACGAAATGTGCAACGTAACAATTAGCAGTTATCGACTAAGTTTTATTCAAAACATGTCTAGTGAGGTATCGATGAGTATACAAAAGCCTCTGCAAAGGACATTTACCCACGCTGGACCATCTCGATAAGATAGGATACACTTTCGGTTCACGCTGTTCGTGAAGAAATTTGCACAGACTGCAAATAGCGCGAGGCGTGCCATCTTCAATCTCGTAATACTGTTTCCAGGCGAAGTACTTTTTGTATATATCGGGATGATCGATGAGCCATTGTAAATATTTCGCTAAATCCTCCGGCGTGTCGAAGTCGAAGGCGTTTACGTAGGATTGCGGAGGAGCGAAGAGGCTGTAATTAGCGGCGCCGTAGACAATCGGCACGATGTCGTATCTGAGGAAAAAATACGCCGAATTATCTCCGACGAGGTCGATTTTGCACAAGAATAGAATATTTCGAGCAACCTGAGTGGATTGTACAGGTGTTCGGTGACGAAATCCTCGCAGAGAGCGCTCTCGAACGACAAGTAGAAGTAGTAGTCACGCTCGAAGACCTTAGAAAAGCAGTCGCCGCCGTAGGAACAGTTATAATTGCCGCATTCACCGTAAACGTCCACGTCTATGTGCTTGGACAGCTCAGCCGCGTATTCTGCCCGACCGTTCTTCGCTTCGCAGTCCTGCGGATACGAAACTATCGCTTTCTTCTTGCTCGCGATCTCAATCGGCGGCACGCCGACCTTTCCATTATCTGTGCAAATACATATATTCAACTTCCACGCGGTTTCAGATTATCAAATTTTCGAAATATTGCAGGATGTGAGGGAAGAATGTTTGGGCCGTGTGAAAGTCGGATCAAATGAGGTGTGCGTAAAGAGTATTTGGGCCGCATGACAGCGACGGGGGAATAAACGTACGCGTGCTCGCGCTTGAAATCTTTTATTGAGAAAGCGAGACGAAATGTCCCGTGTCGCTCGTGCGACTTTCGGCGGTTGACTGCCCTTCGCGTCGTCGGTCGGGATTTTTGGCTGTCCTCGGAACGGATCTCAACTGCCTCACCGCTTTTCGAGAAAAGCCATCGGTATCGGCCCGCCGCGGCATCGACGCCGACGAGTGACACGTCCGTTGCGTGTTTTTTCGTTTACATTGTATGTACAATGTTGCGCCGTGCGCGCTGCAAGGGCCGCCACAGATCAAATGAGGTGTGAACGAAGAGTGTTTGGACCGAGTGACAGGCCGTGGCCTTCCGATATTCGTTGCTAATAAACAAGAGCGAATGCGAGTTGCGAAGAGAGTGCCAAATCACGTTTGCATTCCGTTTCGTACAAGAGCGACGTCTCGACCGAAAATCGGCGCGTGGCAAGAGTGTGCGAATGCGTGTACGAATCTGTGTATGAAAGACAAGATTGAGGAGAGAAAAAGGGATTGTAGATATTAGAGATTTTTTGAGAATTTTTCTCTATATTTACTCGTGAAATTAATTCATATTAATTCAAAACATTATAGCAGATAGTAACACAGACGTACAAGTTGGTAAATTGGCCCTGTGCCAATAGGCACAACTCAAGGCAAAAATAAATAAAAAAAGAGGGATCGTAAGAGCGAATATCAAAGACGAAGGGTGTTCAGAAATGATCAAAAAACAAAGATACGAGATAACGAAAAGGCGAGAAATTCGCGAAATGCACGAAGTTTCGAGCGGAAAGGACAAGCGGCGTATTAATAGGCGAAGCGTAGGACGCGGAAAGGGTTTTCGCAAGCAGCTCGAACAAATGGAAACTTGTTGAATAATCGATGAGGATACCGATGCCAGGGATGAACGTTCGTTTAATCCTGAACTTGGAGAGCCATTTGAACGTCGCGATAGCCTCGCCGCCTCTGTGTATTCGAATTATGCAAAGTGGTGGCAACAAAGAGAGAGAAGTATTTAAATGTTACCGGGGCGATCGTGAAAGGAGCTCCATTTGGCGTTCTGCAAAGGAGCGACTGTCTCGTTGCTCAGTTTGTCCCTCACGATCCCGTACGTCCACGGGATATCGCTGTCGAGGTAGTACGTCATCGTGGCGTTGAAGTTACCTTCGAAAAGGTAATTAACCGGTTGCACATTGTACGGACTCGCCATTTTCACGAACACGTACCACTGTTTCGGGCTCCTTGCCCTCGGCTGGTCCCAAACGTCCAGATTCACTTCGTGAAATAGAATCGCGTCAAAGTCCGTCAGGTTCGCGTAATTTCTGTCATCGGTCGCGTAACAATTGCTCACGGGACAGTCGTGGAAAATTTCACCTTTACCCATGCGGAACGTCTCGTCGTCGTACATTCTGTTCCAGTAAAGTATCTTCTTCGCTTGGTCGTTTTCCTCGGTGAACGTGGAATTCTCGCCGATGGAGAAGCACACGAATGAATAGGTCACGAATGCGATCGAAAGAACGATCAGGATTGTCTTGACGACGAACGTTGCTCTCATCTTACGACGTTTCTTCCGAATTTTAGTTAGCCACAAGTGGATGGAGCAGTGCGAACTACGTCGTTGCTCGACGAACTTTTAAGTATTCGACTGATCGACACCTTTTGCACAGGCGTGTTATTCGACGATTACTCGGTGACTAAATGCTGTAATTGGTAGCGATAGAAAGTAGCGCGATAAAAATAGAAAAAGGACAGTTGAGAGTTTTACAACGCTTTGCACTTGAAAATTGGTGAAAAGTACCGACGTCACGGTTCTGGCACGATCTTCTAATTAACCAACGGAGCATGCTTGTTTACGAAGAACCGTGAATCAGGCCAATTATACGAAAGTCTCGGGCAGCTCCGAGACATTCGAACAATTTCTACGCCGTTTAAACAGGTCTGCCGAAGCGTTACACCTTCCTCGCAGACGTGTTCGGGCAACGGCTTCGTCGAAATCGCTAGTCTTTTCATAGGAACCATCCGGCGAGGAAAAGTTGGAAGAAACGACGGAACGACGATCGCTCGACGATTCTCTTTCCACGCGGATTACGTTGTTTACGAGATGGCATGCGACACCAACGGCGCCTCGGACTTCCGAGAAGATTGCAGCAGCTTCAATTAAAACGAGCAGGATTGCCAAGGCGCCTAGATCGCGTTTCTTTGCGCTTCCGTGGAACTATTGTCTCGTTTTTCTGATACTCGCAGGCGAGAAAGCTTTCGCGAGGCTCCATTGGTCGTTGCGAATTATAGGAACAAACGTTCGGATACTGTTCGTCCTTCGAGCAAAACGGCTCTTGTCTCTTCGAACGTCGAGTTATATTGCGGGAATGTGTGTTTCGAGGTTCTAGGGAGTATTCCTGCGGCGTGATTGCAAGTTGACGATCGAGGATCTGTGGAAGTCTAAGGGAGAAGGGTTAGGAGATATTCTAAGGTTCTGAAGTATAGTGTAGGAGAAAATAGCGTAAATTATATTGTGGGAGTGTGTGTTTCGAGTGTAAAGTCTAGGGCCTAGATTCTGTAGAATATTCTTGTGGCGTGATTGCAATTTGACGATCGGGGCTTTGAAAGGCTCTGTGTAAGTCTAAGGAAGAAGAGTTTCTAAGGTTCTGAAATATAGTGCAGGAGAAAATAACGTAAATTATATTTTGAGTCTAAAGCCTAGATTCTGGGGAACATTCCTGTGGCGTGAGTGCAATTTGAGAATCGAGGCTTTGGAAATCTAAGGAAGAAGGGTTTCTAAGGTTCTAAAGTATAGTATAGCAGAGAATAAAATAAATTATATTGCGAAAATGTGTGTTTCGTGTGCTGTGTTGTCTAGAGCCCAGATTTTAGAGAATATTCGTATAACTTGATTGCAATTTGAGAATCGAGGCTTTGGAAATCTAAGGAAGAAGGGTTTCTAAGGTTCTGAAGTATAGTGTAGCAGAGAATAAAATAAATTATATTGCGAAAATGTGTGTTTCGTGTGCTGTGTTGTCTAGAGCCCAGATTTTAGAGAATATTCTTATAACGTGATTGCAATTTGACGATCGAGGATCTGGAAGGATCTATGCAAGTCTAAGGGAGACAAATTTCCAAAGTTCTGAAATATAGTGTAGGCAAAAATAACGCGAGACGTTATTAACTAGAAATGTGTATTTTGGGTTCCAAGACGACTGCTTACCAGTCGCTAAAAAGCAGACTAACACCTCGACAGATTTTCGACGCGAGTCAAGAAACCGACAAAGTATAATTCAGTCCTTTTTCTGCTAACAGAACCTTTTTCCATTCGTCTAACTTCTATTCAGTTCTCACAATACACAGTGAGTTGGTTCTAATCGTTGTGACCTGGAAATGGCGAACGTTTTCGCCTTGAAGAATGCGTTACGCTATCTCACCAAAGTAAATGAGTTGTGGAATTATTAGTGTTTCGTTATCCAAGGATTTTTGCAACTTATCTAATTTTTTCTGCACTTGATTTGATATGTAAATGTGTAAATAAATAAATTACTCATCCTCGCGCCAAATTTTCGCATTCTTCACTTTCTGGCGTGACTAAAATTAGCGTTCATACATAATTACTCTAAACAGACTTATTTCGCCTTAAAATAGAGAATCGACGTTCTTGCGCGGCTTTTCTAGAAACGTGAAACCTTGGCACTATCTTAGCCCGGTGAACGATTTGACAATAACGTGGTTAAATATACGCCGCGATAAGTGATTCGGAACTCGTTCTCTATGAATATTTCCATGCCACTTCGAAAACGGGATCGGTTTCTTCGGATATATCGGTTCACCAATATAGCCGATTCCTTTTAAACAGTCGCCTATGTTAACGATCGAAAATTTTCGATGGTTTTACTCTCGAGAAGAGTCGAACGATCGTTCTAATTGACATTTCAACGCAGTTGGAAACGAAGGCAAACCGGCCTGACGGAATAAATTATGAAAACCGTCGTCCGCGCGCGGCTCGGAACGATCCGGTCGGTGAATATTTCATGAAAAGTATGGATTCTTTGAATCATCGGTAGAGACACTCTAATTGCCTTCTCTAACAAGCGTTTCTTTTTTTCTTCCCTCGTTTAATTCAACCGATGATGCACACGCGACGTTTCAGGATCTCCTTTCTCAGGTGTTCTCTCTCCAACGGTAGACTACAGAATAAATAACTTTATTTCAAAAATTATACAGATTTGGTTGAAACAATGATACATCGGTTGCACGTTCGAATGCCTGTCGCGTCTGCCGATTACCTTGGCACTTAAAGCGCCGGCTATTTTGTTGGAAACTTGACTTAACACCAGGTTTACGGGACGCGCCATTTTGACGCATTTCGAATTTCACAAGGCAACTACGGAAACCGTTTACATCTCTCTCCTACCATTTATGCTTATTATAAATTTCATATAAATACACAGTATCACATAGCTTCATTTGTAAGTAAATAGTGTGCAATATGTTGGTTTTTAAAGAAAGTCTGCGGTTTTGTTCACGCGTCAATTTCACGCCTGTCCGTAGAAATAGGTACGGTAAGAAATGCCCGTAAACTTAGTGTTAAAGCGCCGCAATATTTACGAGTTTCGTAGAAACACGCACTTTAACAAAATAAACCAGAAAATTTCTGTTGAACAATTTTACATAGTGCCTACTACAGGCACAGTGACCATTTTTAACGATATAAATACCGAGCCACTTGCTGTTCAACAGACACAATATTTTTTCCCAGCACAAACATGTAAAACTTAATCGCCAGTCCACACATTACGCCTCAAAACGGGTCCGGCGCTTAAAGTTCTTCTGCATTCGCGAAAGTGCACGAGATTCGACGTTCTTCCATTCGAACTCGAGACGAAAGTTCCACTCTTGCGGGTCGCGGACTTTCCACGATGAAAACTGTTCATCGATTTTCACACTTTCCAAGGCTACCTGGCCACGCGACAATTGCAACTGCAACCGAATTTACCTGCTCCGTTGACGGAGTAAAGCGTCTCGATTCGAGCGTTTCTCGAAAATAGAACATCCGCGATACTTCACAAAAGTGTACGTATATAGATCGTGTCAGTCTTCGTGAGGCTTAATTATCGGTCCCTGTTGTTCGCGTGTATTCTAGCGACGTTAGAAAATCGTGCAGTGGACGTTCGCGGAGTACCAATCGGACAGGGAATTGTACGTTCGTTGTTGTTTCCTTTTGTGAAGGAACTCGCAGAGATTGCAAGCCGCGTATCGCGTCGCGTTCTCGATCTTGTACCGCTTCTTCCAGGTGAAGTACTCACTGTACGCGCCCGGATTCTTCATCAGCCTCTTCAAATACTCGGCCAGGTGTTTGGGCGTTTCGTAGTCTAACACGTGGATGTAGGATCCCGGTGGCGCGAAACGGTTGTAATTGGCTCCACCGAAGACGATCGGTACCACGTTGTACCTGCAGGCACATTCTCCGTTGGTTCTTTATAAAATATAATATCGGCAAAACACGATTAACCCTTATGTCGATAACCAGAATTGCCGTCTGCTTTATCGTCCAATTTTAGTAGCTTTCTGATAAGAAAATTGTAACCTTGAGGCAATGTGCGCGATAACAACGATCTGGCCGGGTATTTCGATCAAATATTTTAAGTGAGAATTACGCGAAAGGGTATCCGGTTATTGACCCAAGGGTTAAGAATCTTGGAGTATTCTGTGCTTCCAAATAACGACTAAATTGAGTAAAGAATTAAGTAACCGAGTAAGATACAGTGTAAAATTAGAGAAATATTGCAGTAAAGAATTTCAGACGTTGCAAACTGTCCAAAGTTTTCTACACGGAGTATACATTGCGGAATTAGTATTCCACCACTAACACGATTCTTTTCCTCCATCAATTTATTCGTGTCACGGTAAACAAGCAAACGAACGAAAAGAAAGCGAACAAAAAGAAAAAAAAAATGAAAATAAAAGGAGGAATAAAAAAAAAAGGAAATAACCGCGCGCACAGAGCGAAGCAAAGAAGGGGGAGAGGACGAGAGGACGGAAGGAGGGACGAACACACGTCAGGGGGGATCACTCGCAACGTGGCTACCTGTCGAAACAATTTCATGTACCGGGGAGGAGCCACGAAACGAGCCCGTCACGCGATTTAAAACCCTGCCTGGAACTGACAATTTTATCGTTGAAATCGTCCATTGTTTTACCTGAGCGCATTGTACAGCTTCTCCGTTGCGTAATCGACGCACAACGAGTTCTCGAACGACAGGTAGAAAAAATAGCGAGGCTCGACGACCTCGCGGAAGCAGTCTTTGGTCTGGGGGCAGCTCATGTTACCGCATTTCCCGTAAATGTCCACCGGTATGTACCTGGACAGCCTGTTCACGTAACTCTCGCGGCCACTTTTCGCCACGCAATTGCTCACGAACCAAACTATCGGCTTCGTCTTCCCTCGAATCGTCTTCGACAACGCAGCGTCCTTCTCTAGAATACCGCTGCGTTCACCTGTGCAGACGAATCGTTGCTCCGGTGAAGTGATCGATGACTCGAACGGACGTTTCGGCGGAGGTGAATGCTCTTTAGAGGGTAATCGATAGGCGACGTTTTGAATACGAAGGGGAAATGGATTTCTAATAGGTTAATGCATATGAAATGTCCCCGTTTTCGTCGATTGTTTCCGGCAGATTGCTCGCGGTGTTGCGTTCGCGCCGAAACCTCGTCTTTTTCCGTTCTTTCCAGGGCTACGCTTGGTACTTAAATTGTCTTTGTAACTGCTAATATTCTATTTATTCGACGACTCTGAAGAAACGTCTTTACTGTTTCAAATGGAACTGTCTCTGGACAGGTAAAAAGAGGAAGCTGCTGTTGTGTTGCAGTGTAGAGTGTTTTGATTTTAAGTCTGTCGCGGTAGGCGCCACCCGACCTGTGGTACGCGAATGGGTTTCCCTTGTCCTAAAAATTCGCACCTTCCCTGCATTCCCGATACCGCGGGTCCTCTTCCGAAATTTCCCTACCCCACGCGCATTCCACAGCGTCCATCCCCGCCAGTAGGGCCCCGTATAAATACTGGGCCCAAACAAGGGAAGTTTAGTCTTACGTTTAAAATCTAAGGAACCACAACGTCACTCTGTACCAACGTTGTTATAAATAAAGCACTTTAAACAATCTCCTATTGTATCGCAGTGTGCAGTGCTTGACTCAACACCAGACACATCTGGTGGAAGTCCCAGTGTCTTTGTCTAAAAGAACGCCGGGACATTGTTGTCCTCGCTCGATTATTTCCACAGGGTGATCTTAGAAATAATCCAACAGTACTTTCTCGGGGAAACGTGAGAATTGCTGATCTTCTGAACTAACGTTTTCTCGTATTTGTGCTTTCGTTTTTGCCTACGTAGAAATATGGAAGAAGTATCGTACGAATTTCCTTGGTCCGGCCGCAAAACCGTGTCCACGATGTTTCGCAGAAAACGATAAACGTGCAAGGTGACTAATTTGTAACAGCCGATAATGTGACGAGCGGTATCTTAATTAGTACACTAGCCTCTGCAGAAGGCTAGCTCGTTGCGCAACGCGATTGCACAACCCACGCGTCGACTTTGGAAACTTCTCATTTCTCCGCGATTTCGCACGCGCGTCGATCCCCCCTGTGAACGTCGATAAATTAACAGCGGCAATTTCATTTCTGCTAATTACACGCATCGAAGCGTTCCTCCGGTTCGATACCGGGCGATCTCGTTACAGTTTTCCAACCGTTCTATCGGGGCTTTCCTTGATAGAGCAGGAGAAACGTTAGTTCCCATGGGTTGACTCGGCGTGTTGCGTTCGAAGAAACTCGCGCCGGCCAGCTTTTTCCGCTCTGGTCGTCGAGCGAGTGGTATACGACGATCCAGATAACAGTTAGCCGCGTCTCTCCGGTTCCACCGGCGAATGGCCGTGTTTTCTTTGTGGAAACGCTCGAGGGAGAAGGGACGCAGGGGACCGGGATAAATTACGCACCGCGCGACGATTAGGAAGCGCGCGGGAACGAGATGATGCGCCCTCGTGGCCGGAAGGAAGGGGTGATGTTTTCGCGGCGCGAAACAGTGAAAGCCGAACGAACGAACGGGCGAAAGCAAACTTCTTGAATAATCAATGCGCAAAGAGCCGCCTGAAGAAGCCTCTTTTTGCCGCATGCTTCGGCGTTTGTTGCGCGCTTCGTTGTCGCCCGACCCGCGTCTTTATTCAGCGTCCCGTTTTAATCTACAGGTGGCTGGCGCCTACGAATTAGGTCGAAACGCGACAACTTCCAATTCAAATTTCAAATTTCACGTCTCGACGGTTCGAGTTCAAATGCAATTTCCACCTTGAGAATTCCTATCTAAGTAATTTGAAGTAAATTTGAAAATTCTGATTCGAAATTTTGACACTAACCGTGCCGGTACTTTGAGTATACCTATTTTCACCGTAACCGGTTATGAAATGATGATATTTTTTCGAAAGGAATACAGGTGATTGTCAATTTAACCCTTTGCACTCGGAGCTCGTTTTGCTAAAGTTTGCAGATCGGATGTTTGAAATTTTCTAAAATTAACACAGAAATGAACCATTCAACGTATTCTCTATTCCACTATGGTGAAGAAATTTATGGAGGTCCCATAGATCTGCTCTCTGTTAGATTTATCAGTCAGTTAGATATAACAAAAATTAATCTAAGGCCTTACTAGGAAGTATATATTTCTTTTGTATACGTTTGGAGAAATCCGTTTAGCTTTACCACCTCTGTTTAGTAAAGAACTAAATGTTTATGATACGTGACAAAAGGCCCTTCGGTTCCAAGCGGGGTCGGAATCGACCCTACCTTTTTTTTTTTTTACGTGGAGGTAGGCCGACTATGTGATAAACAATTGGCAACCAAACGGTGGCTCGCTAAAGTGATATATTATGAAATTAAATTAATCACTCAATAAGTTTTAACGTTAGATTGTTTCCTCGATATGGCCATGGTGGTTATCAGTGACTGTAGTGCCTCAAATGTTTAGAATAATTAAAATAAAATAAATGTTGTCAACTAAAAATTTTGAACGTCATAGCTAGCTAGACATTATTTTCAATTGAAAAAAAATAATTATAAAGCATAATACTATAATCCTATGCTTAAAATTTATTTTCTTGTGACCGCCTGACAACATCCTGTAAATCTGGCATTACTCAATAAGTATTAATAAGTAAATGTTGTTCAAATTATATCGTGTTTGATCTCACTTTCATCAGAAAAATCTCACCAACATGTTAAAACAAATTTCAGATGAAAAAAAGGAAAATTAAAGAAATGATATTTTTCTATTACGAATTGTCGAGCCGTGAAATCTCGTAAAAGAAACCGAGTGGTGACAGACAGCGAGCGAGATAACATAGGCGTAGCAATGACGCAGCCTGGGCGTAGGACCATCTATACTGACACTTGTAGAATCCAAACTGACTGACACTTGTAGAGAATTCACTGTATTAGGGCGTTGCGTAGGAGCATTCATACAGTGCTCTTACCATCAAGTAGAAAAGTTTAAAATAAGGATTATTAATTATTTAACAACCAGTAACTCCCATAATCCAATACTCTCTGACTTGATTAATTAATTAACCTCGTTTCTCAGTCTCCACTCGATTGCAAAGGGTTGATACAGGAAACAACGCAGATGATCGAATTTAAAACCGGTCGAATTCGAATGCGAAACAGAAATGCAAGTTTTACAGTTTCGATTAACCTCTTTCATACGCCAGTGATAGTTGCTCCGCACGGAATGTCGCGTAATTTGCATATTACCTGACCGATTGTACGCGCTCCAATCGACATTCTTGCTGGGCGCCACGACCTCTCCAGTGTGCGCGTCCTTGACTACGCCATAGGTCCAGACGACGTCGCTGTCCAATCTGTACGTCATCGTGAGATTAAAGAAATCCTCGTAAATGTGGCTGGTCAGTGGCCTGTTGGCCGGACTTTCCAGGTTCACGAAAACGTACCACTGCCGAGGACTCCTGATGCTCGGCAGATCGGACGCCTCGAGCTCGTTCCCGTGGAACAGCACAGCGTCGAAATCCTCCATATCCGTGTAATATCTGTCGTGTGTCGCGTAACAATCGTTCACCGGACAATGCTGGAAAATATCGCCTGTGCCCATGTAGAACGTCTCGTCGCCGAACATCGTGTTCCAAAAGAGAATCTTCTTCGTGAAATTGGTAACACGTAGATCGCCCGCGATGATCCGTCTGAACTGCAGGATATCGTAGATCCTGTAGTTGAAGTAGAAGGACAGGATGTAGAGGGTGAAGGTGAATGTGAAGAGAATGAACAGGCAGATCTTGACGGAAATCCATAATTTCATTATCGATCCCCTTTTCCTCCTCGTCCAACGTTGATTTCCCTCGGATTTCTAACTGAAACAAGGATATTTCTCCTCTGAACGATATTCGTCTTTCTTCTCCCTCTTTCTACGTTACCAAAATGAACAATTACTCGGACCTTTTTTTAAACATTTTACTAATTTCGGAGATACCGAGCTTGGTTGAATCAACAGAGGGGACAACAGAGCAGACACGAGTCTGGCTGAACTATCAGGTGAGTCACGTCCAGGTTACGTTAATTCAATCTGGAATATAATTGCATTCGTAACAATACTCGCGGGGCTGGACGTAACAAAATTATCAGTTGCGCGGCAAAGTTGCGTAACTCGGCGGAATATTTCGCGATAGGAAGTAACGCGGAAGGGCGCAAAACAAAGTAGCACAAAGGGAGAAAGAAACGAGGTTACAAGGTTTCGTTTGATTAAAAGTTATACTCTCCCCCTGGACGAGAGAGCGTGGAAGAAAATGAAATCGTTCTCTTCCTTCTTATCCTCTTTAATCCTCTCCGCGTGTGCTCGGCGTCTGTCGAAAATTTGTTCGTTAATTAGCGAACGCAAGAGTGCGTTCTCCCTTTAATCGTGATTATCGAACCTTCCCCGTTTATCCTTCTACAACGTGAAATTTCGCGACACCGCGTCGAGATGAAATCGCGCAACAAAACGCGCGGGAACTTTCCGAATCGACCCGACATATTCGATTATGCAGATCTCGGGGTAGTTACCGGTGCAAAGTTCGTGAAAAAATCGAAGGAAAAGGAAAGAGACACACGGTCGGTACCGTTGATGTGCAAAAAGAAAGGAGGAAAAGAGAAAAAAAAACGGGACTCCGTTTCCGGCGGAGGATCGACGATAGAAAGGGCGATAAAGCCGGTGATTGATGGTTCACCTTCGCCGTGGCGCGTCGAACGTGGAATCCGAATGTGGGACACAGGTGTTCGATGAAGGAATTTGTCCGGGAATCATCGCCGCTCGCAGTTTACTCTCTGAAAGTCTCATAAATTTTCAGGTATCCATCCTGGTTGCACTCCAGTTCCTTTTGTGTATATGTCCCACGTTGTCACCTCTCTCTCTCTCTCGAGCACCTGTTCTCCACCCGTTACAGTTTCAATCGCGACTCACCGAAAACCGATATTTCCAACTTGACACGAGTCACACCGAGAAGACTGTACGAGAATTAAACGAAAATGTTGTTTTTTTTTTTTTTATTGTCGCGAAGGATAAACGATAGAGATGGCTGCTCGTTCCAAGAGACGTATAGTACAGTGAGTCGCGCGTCTACCGCCTGCGTTAGCAGTTCTAAGCAGTGATCCTAGAATCGTGGGCGAAAGCAGCTACCCCCACTATGACCTACCGCCGTCTCCCACTGTACCGTCCTCGTGCTCTCACACAGGTGTAGCGGCAGCTCTGTCCGTGTGCGAAGCCTGTTCGAAGCCTGTGTATACTGTGTATTGTTTATACGTAGGCAAAAATGATGTATCAAGTTTGTAAAAATATATTTTATTTGAAGTTTTAAAATTAATAGTTTATATGAATAAATTGCAGATGTCATAAAATCAAATAATATCAGATTTTATCAGTTAAAATAAAAGTGAAAAGTATTCTTCTACCTTACGAAGCAAACGTCTTAGGCGCATACCTACTGTCGATTGTTGAACACCCCTTAAGCCTCCAAAGTTTCATAGGAGTAATTTCAATTGTTTATAAAAAATGTGCAATGAAATGAAATATTTCACAAAATGTCATTTTTCGACTTCTAGATTCATCCCTTCAAATTTCGTTGAAGTCCTCGGAGGTCAGGTATGCATACTCTGTTCAATTTAAGAATAACCTCGCTTCGCGCATGGGGCGTGCCCAAGGCAGGGCTAGAACCACTACCAACGTCCAAACCCCCACTTAACCGTCCTACCCCCTGCTACGCTCTCTGTCTATGCGCAGAACGGACGAAAATCGGTCCGAGAGCGAGGTTATTCTTAAGTTGAACAGAGTATAGTCTCCTTGTTAAGTGCTTTGCACATCAATATTTCTCGAATGTTTTATTTCACTCGAAAGTTACCAAGTGAAATTACAAAACAATCCAAAAGTAACCGTTGTACCGAGATTCAAAGGGAATCTCCTGATTCTTACTCATGCGCTCAGGTTGCTCGAGCGTCACTCATCAGGCTTTCGCACGCGGGCGAAGCTACCGTTACATTTGTGTGAGAGCACTAGGACGTCATAGTGGGGGTAACTGCTTTGGCCCACGGCCCACGATTCTAGGATCACTGGTCCTTAGCAACCGCAAACGACGTTGTTCTTCTGTTTCGCAGCTCGGACAGGCACACGCACGCTACAATCCCAATTACAAATTGTATTGTTAAGGGTAAAGCAGAGAAGTGTTTATTAGAGGTGTTAGATACCGCTCTAACCTTAACAAATAAGATAGACACATTTCATATCCACCGCCTAGTAACCCCTAACAATTTTCTTTTTGCACGATTACTCGTACGCTTTAATGTTATTCATCGACCCCGGGTCATACTCATCAAGTCCCAGAACCGTTGGACCTTTCCGCTACACCAAAGTAAGACCTACGAACCTTAGTAAAAGCAAGCAGTTAAAGATCCCGCTACGACCGAACGCATCTATAAACTAAGTGCTTTAGAACTTGGAAGATTTCGTGTAGAAAATTTGGTAAAATAATTGTTATTTTTTCTTTCAATTACTAAACATCGGAATCTAACAGAGGAAACGAGGGAAATTGGCGAACGGGAAGGAAGGTTCGACGGCGAAGCTTCTAAACGTCGCGGAAACGTGGTAAATAGGAGGCAAGAATTGGTAGGATAGGATCGAAATCGTCGCTCTACCATTCCGTCGGTACAGATTTTATCGACAGATCGGCCCGGCGAAATTGAAACTTATATAGCGCGGCTTGCTCGCCCGGAGACGCGAGACGCGCTCGATTAAGAGGCTTTCCACGAGGAAATGGAGCGACTTAGCGGCGTATAACTTCGCTCCTTATATCACTCAATCGTAAAACTTGGCTCCCTACAATCGCGCTCGAACGACACCGCAACTTCCATCGGGGGGTCGGATGAACGGAGACGGAGAATCACGTGCGTCCGATGTCGTGATTTACGAAAGGAACTTCTGCCGGTGACTCGAGACTCGTTTTAACGATCATCCGCCCGAGATCGTCGAACCTACACAGTCCATCAAATACCCGCAGGAATTTCCAAACTTCGAATCGGGAGCTTCTTTCGAATAGATCTCTTTTCCATTTCTTTACAATTTAACGTGTGTCGATACACGAACGCGAGTCTAAGGAAGAAGGATCTCGCAAGTTGACAAATGTAGAAAGTCGAAGCTCTGGCGTCGTTGGACTTTTCTTTTGTTTGCGTCGTAGTTTCGTTATCCAGAGTGCTCGAAATCCGAGTATTTTTTTTTGTAAATCTCGACTCGTCGCGAGAGCGATACCTGAATCGAAATCACGCGAGAATCAGGATACTCGGGTCTAAACTGAATAGCAAGAGCCCTAGTTAATTCCCAAAATTTCGTTTTGTCGCCGAAAGCGAGAGTTACTCAAGATTCGAATATCCGTAAATCCCTTTTGCCACCGAAACAGAGAGTCCAGTGCTCTCCACAGCTCCGCCGAAAGTCTTGCGTGAAATCCGTCGGCTCGAGTTGGAATATTCCAATTCTTCCGACAAATCGCAATCCTTTCGAAGTCGTGAAACACTGTTGCGTCGCAAACGCAACCGTTCAAGAGTTTCACTTCTAATTCCAACTCTTTCGTGTCTTACTTTTCCTTTCGAAGCGACGTCGAGGACCAGAAAGTGTTTTATGGACGCAGAAACTCGACGCTTCTGCGTGCCATACGCTTTCCTGGTGCCCGTACATTTCCTTCAGTAGCAATTCACGTGTCGTAAAGCCACTACACATACACACACGTAGATCAGTCCCGTTTGGGCCTCACGCCGCAGCCCCATCGACCGAGGAAGGGTTCCTATTCGTCCTCATAGGCCACCCCCTCGACGTAGTTCTAACATAAAACTGCAAGAAAGGCCCAACGCGCCTCAATGTCCAACAAAAGTCCGCTAAGATCGGTATTACAAATTCCCATTCAAAGTAGTTTAAATTTAAATTTCACATTTAACAAATAATTGTACTCGCACATAATTAAATTGGCGTGTGAGCGACACGATACGTTGACTGCCAATAACGATTAGGAATCGCGTCGCAACAAGATAGCCCAAATAATCATCCGAGTCACGCCAGTTCACCGCACGTTTTATCGAATAGAAAGAGCCATAGCAGTAGAGTCTGATTAATTCAGCAGCAGCATCCAGATTGTACGCGGTATATCGTAATTCGTTTCGAAACTCCTCTCTACGATTGTTCGAAACACTCGACCAACGAAAGTCTTGTGCAATTCGTCTTCGTACCGCGGAATTATAATTCGAACTAGAAGCCCCTCGTAGTATCCGGAAGTTCTCCCAGGGATTTCCTCTAGCGGAAGCGGAGTCCGTACTGTAACGATCCGTTTAGAAAGCGGGGAGGAGAGAAGGATAGAGAAAACGGAGAGAGTGTGAGAGAGATAGGTAACCTCGCGACGGTCGAGCAGTGATTAATTCTTCCCGTTAATCACGGCTCGATCCATCATCGCCGGTATCTGCGACGTTATTTCTTCGACGTTCGAGGCTCGAAAACGCCGCGAGATCAATCATAATCGGTGGGTTTTAAGAGAGGCTGCACATCGCGCGACTTTATGGACCTCCTCTACGTAGGTGCTTCCCCGCGCGGATTTATCGCCGCGTTATATAGACACGTTTTATCGATGCAACGCGAATGCCTGCTGGGAATTAGCTTCGGGACGAGATACGACGTTCCATGGGCGTAATACACCGATTCATCGACGGAAGGGGCGTACACCGCCCCCGTGTAGAACAGAAACTGATAGGAGCAGATATTCCAACCTTTTCCCCCTGATTAACACCTTGCCTTGTAACGACGAGTCACGATTGTCGTCGAGAATGCAGTTTGGATGTTAACGAGGCTCACGATTTCTCTGTAATATTTTCGCTTCTTTTTATTTAACGCTGTATTGGAGAGTGAATAGCTGTGGCTTGTTTAGGTGGCGACTGAAAAATCGCGGGGATAGGGGTTGTTTTTGCACGAGTTCGCGATGCAACGCGATCTATTTTACTAAAGACGGCGCGTTGGCGAAGGTCGTAACTCTTCACTCCGATGTTTCGACACCGCGTATCGTACAGTGTTTTTTCCTTACGAACGTTTCCGGAGGTAAGGAATGATACTTGAGATGCGTCTTTTGGTTTTACTTGTCCTCGTGAAGTGTCTTTTTTGAACTCTTTATTTTGTGGTGGTGCGTGGGCATATATTGGGTCGGTGTATGTTCTGTTAGAAAAGTCCAAAAAGCGAAGGCTTGAGTGGGCCATGTGCAGTCTTCTGCTGCGTTTCCCCCCCTAGGGATAGTTCTGCCTCAAGGCTAAGAAAGGCCATATTGTCAAGGGGGTCCTCTTGACTAGGTTTTTCAGGAAAGAGAGAATTGTATCAGCACTCGTACAGTATAGTTCGAAATACAAGCATTCACTCTGTTTAACCGCCCACGTTTATATCTTATTCAACCGCTCACCACCGTTATCCTGGCGGATTTTCTCTTACACTTCCTTACTAGTATACCCGAAAAATCCCTTAGAGCATCATTATAGAAAGCAAGCGAGTGTAGTTGAGAGCGGTCGGTCCAGTACACAGCAGCAGAAACCCAACGTTCTCCTCTCTACGTGAAGTTCGCGCCTTGTAAATTCGGAATCCGCAGGTACAAGTATCGTCTTATTGCTAAAATATAATCGGCGTCCACTTTCAATAATCTATGACACGAGTCTGAGTCGTTGGTATATAAGAAACGAACCATTGTCTACCGATCACGTCAGATGCGTAACGTTAGATACTCGGTATTTCTCGATGGAGGAATTTATCGCGAGAATGTTGACGCAACTAGGCTCCTTCCTCTTGTTTTTTTCGAGTACGTTTCCGTTGGATGGCAGCCTCGACACGGAATCGACGGCTTTCCACTCTTTCAACCGAACGATCAACCAACTGCCCTCTTGCCTCTTCACCCTTGACCGATTCTGAAACTTTCCCAAAGGATTTCACTCCACTGGTGTGACTATTCGCGGTGACCCTCTTCTTTTCCAAGCTTGTACCACCGCGTTACGTTCTCGGAAAACACCCTTTGACTCCGTCGAGTGGCGATCGAATATCGATAGCTGGCGGTTGCGAACAATCGGTCATTAAAATGTTGATACAATGGGGAAAGGAGATAATTTATCATACCGATGGTAATAACGATACGCTCTTTGATACGATTTTATAGGATACGAAGATTGTTTCGTACTGTGATGCCCGGTTTGCTCCAATTCCTTGAAACTAGGAGCAGATATTGGGGTATCGCTGAGTTAAAACACTTAGGGACCGTCGTTGCGTGAAACAGAACTCTATTTGACAGAGATGTTTCACGATACGTGACGTGCGCGTGGTAGAATGGAGAATGAACGCGGAAATGGAGAAAATAGGGCTGTTTAAGGGTTCTGGGAAGATGGGCTTTGGGTTGTGACTATGCAGGAGAGTTGGAAGGTGAAGAGTAATGGTGAAAGTGGGTGGTTTGTTGCGAATACAGATAAAACTAAGGACTAAGAATGAAAATATTTGAGGGTGTACAGTACGCTTTTGTTCGAATACGAACGTTAACGTGTAAAATCGTGTGGATAGAGGGGAAATAAGAAGAGAGCGATCGAACGAGGAATTAATGTGAAAAATTATGCGACTAATAGAAGTTTCTGTCTGTTTTAGCGCTCTCAGATCGACCAATGTTTGCCGAGCCAATACCGAACGTCACGGTGCCACTGGGGAGAGACGTCAGCTTACCCTGCGTCGTTGAAAACCTCGGTAATTACAAGGTAATTAAATCGAACAATCTACCTGCATGCCACACGCCGCTGTGCATCAAGTTTCAGTTAATAACGCCTGCCTCGCTCTGCTCTGCTTTCGTAATTCAATCCTTCCTTCCCCTTTCTGCAATCATTAAATTCTGCGATATTTCCCAATTCTGCGATATTTCCCAATTCTGCATTCTCTTTTCCAAGTTCGATTCACCCTGTCGCTGGTGAAATTGCAAAATTAACGGGGGAAGAAACCTGATTTTCAGACAAAAACAACGTTGATTGTCTTAATTTCTCTCGCAAAAGTAAAGTACTCTGGATTCTCTCTCTTTCTGCTCTACTCTGCTCTGTAATTTTATTCTGACGTCTCCTTTTTACAGTCGTTAAAGAATTCTGCGATGTTTCTCAATTCTAAATTCTTTTCTCAAAGTTTAATTCCTCCTGACACAAGGTGAAATTGGAAAATTAACGTGGTAAATAAGGGAAACTTGAAATTCCGCCTGAAAAACCTGATTCTCAGGTAAGAACAACGTTGATTGTCTTAATTTCTCTCGCAAAAGTGAAGTACTCTGGATTCTCTCTCTATCTACTCTGTTCTGCTCTGTAATTTTATCCCCCCGTCTCCTTTCCACAGTCGTTAAAACATTCTACGATATTTTTCAATTATAAATTCTTTTTTCAAAATTTAACGCTGCCCGTCGCACGGTAAAATCGCAAAATTAACCTTGTAACTAACAAAAACTTAAAATTCGACAAAAACGTCAATTTTCCTAATTTCTCTCGTAAAAATAAAGCACTCTGGAAAATCGTGAAACAACCCTAAGAAGAAGCTGTACACACATAACCACGGCAGTCGAAATTTCCCCTAAAAGCCATCTCGCAAGAAGAGAGAGGGTGTTAGGTAAGCCGCGGCGTCCATTATTACGCAATGTCGTGGGTAAATAATAAATGCAGCCGCAGACGTTGTAACGCCGCCGCGTTTTCAAATATTTACGCTATCTGCTCCCGATGTATCGATTCTCGTCACCGCCAAGGCAAAGTATCCGCCGCCGTTGCTGTTGGTGAAGCAACGTTTTGTCGTCGAGTATATACGTATATTTACCCACGAAATCCTTCTATTGCCAGCGATTTTAATAGAACTACCCTCGCGGAGGAGCCTGTCGGATTAAACCTCGCTGTCACCGGTGGGAAAACGTGGAAAAACTGCTTTAAGAACGCATAAACACGTGTCTCATGTGCAAAATGCTCGTTTTTTTTTTATGGAGACACAGGTGTGAAGGATGGTTTTTCGTTCATTTGGAATTGGAGTTTGACGCAAACGAGCTAGCATGAGTATTTTGGGGGCGATAGGATTTCTTTGCGACTGGACCTGGATCGAATGCTCGTGATGATCGCGTGAAAGAAGGGTGATAAGGATTTGAGCGGACGTTAGTGACGAGGAGAGATTCTGACTTTTTCATGAGCTTTTGCACAGTGATAGAGTTTTAGAGACAGACAAGATATTTGAGGCTGTGATCGCCTTCCAACAAGGGACGGTCCCAAGGTGTAGCTCTCAGGTTTCAACGAGCTTTGGCACAATGACGGAGTTTGAAAAATTGAAGCCACTGATACCCGGTTTTGGGTGCGGCCGGTTAATAGTGGGGGTGTTTAGTACGAAAGAATGACCGTAAACAGAGATGAAAGAAGGAACGAATAAAAGACGATCGTGCGTGGCGCGTTTGTTTATGTTTAGACGATAATTGGGTTGCCAAGCCGATTGCGACGTCTCGTCCTTTTCTAATGAAATGGAGCGAGAGTGTGGGTGGTTGAGTGTGTACGAGGAAAAAGAAGAAGAGTATGGGAGACTGAGTTTTTGACCAGCGAACCGTGAGCATCGAGAGAGCGAGTTACATTCCTTTTTGTCACCAATGAAAACCATAATAGTGAACAGCACCGGCGACACGTGGGGTACTTTATTTTATTCGATAAAAGTAATCAACAAATCCCACGATAGTTTGAGATATTTAACGTTAAAGTTTCTACCTCCGTGTGTCTTCTGAACATCGTGAGGATGTTGGTGTTAGATTTATCAGTCAGTTAGATATAACAAATATTAGTGTCGAATCCTCATCCCTTTGTCCCTTGACTCCCATGCATACAGATCCTTATCCCAGGTACCGTTTTGACAACTAGCTGCGCGTTTTCCACTTTCCCACCGAATTCCTGTCCTATCTCCGGCAGATTTTCAAACTGATGCACTGTACCCATTTCTTTTGTACCGAGTCCTTAATACTAAAACTACCGACCGGGTTTGTCCCTTGACTCCCATGCATACAGATCCTTATCCCAGGTGCCGTTTTGACAACTAGCTGCGCGTTTTCCACTTTCCCACCGAATTCCTGTCCTATCTCCGGCAGATTTTCAAACTGATACACTCTACCCATTTCTTTTGTACCGAGTCCTTAATACTAAAACTACCGACCGGGTCAAAATGACCCATTAGCGACTTTCCAAAAGTGAATTTTTATGTAAGTAAACCGTGATTGGAAAATTCGATTCATACCGAT